TGGACTTCAACTCCCAGAATTGAAGTCCACACATCTTAAAGTTCCCAAGGTTGAGAAACACTGCTTTAAATAATGGCAGGCAATTGAATAACCCCCAGCTGGTTTAGACTACAGCTTGAGAGCATGTCTAATAGTTAGGAGTTGTAATCCAAAATATCTGAAATAAATTACCTACTCCTGCTTTAATCTGTTCAACAAGTAAAAGCCAGAGGATAGCTGAATATTAATTCCAGTGGTCAGGATGATTTCAATACTGTTTTGTGTGGTTACAAGATCTGGACTGCTAAATCTGGGCAACTAGATAGTAGGAAAGGGATACAGAAAATGATCTCTGCTGCCATCTAGTGACCATTTGGATTTTTCCAGCTGAAAACTGGTAGCTCTGCCTTATAGAAGGAAATTAGGATAGGCTAAGGAAAATGAAACAAAATCAAAATAAATGCAGTTTGTAAAACTTGACCTTAGTGGAAAGTTAATATGTACTGAGGAAAGCTTGTTAATTTCTATAGGGAATGAAGTTTCATATCCTTCTGATGATCTGAATGGAGACAGCACAGAATCAGCTGATTGTATAGGTGGCATAATAGAGGGCTGAAGGGCTGTAAAGTGAAATTCATAGATTCAATTCAATTCCTTCATTATGAATTCTTTTCCATCTTTTCCATTACTAGGCAGAAATATTAACACCTTTTATCCTCTTTTTTTTTAACTTACAAAAATTGTGGGTGTTTTGCAGATCTGATATTAGCTAGCTGTGGTTAGAAACAAAATAGAGAAAGTGAGGAAGAGAACAGGACTGATTAGTTTCCTTAAGATATGCACACTAGTCCATTTAAGGGCTCCAGGTTAGGGGCCCTAGTCCTGCAGCCAGGCAATACCAGGTTGTCAAAGGCACTTTGGGAAAAGGTTGGCATCCTGAGTGTACACCACCTGAACCTATGCATGTTTACTAATACTTAGGGCTAGCAGATCTGTTCTACTGACACCACCAATGAGAATAGGCACAATGGTCTTTTCTCCCAAAGAAGTTTTGGAAATTTAAATAACAGAGAAAAGGAATCCTAGTCTATGATCCTACATAAAACTAACTTATAGTTTGTTTAATCTTGATTTCTTAAATAAACTACCATTGGCTTCATACCACATACTAGGTCACAAACCATGGTTTATAAATCACTGGGTTCGTATAACATGATAAGCTAACACTAAACTAAGTACCTTTGGCTTGGTGTGATATGTGAACCAAGAGGTATACCAACTAGCACAATTTGCTGCCTACTTCAGTAAATTCAGCCCTGTCTGACTGGTGATTGGCTTTGAGAAAACCCTTTTAAGAAAAAGCATTAATGACCATATCTGGTTTATAACTGTATGGCAAAAGAGAAGTGTCCAAGCATCAGCTCATTTATCTATCTGTGGGATCGGTCTACCAACAGGCTAAGATTACCAACAAGCATACTTTACGCTCTTCTTAGAGAGTATACTCAAGTGAAATAGATGTCTGTGATACAGGGAGACTGGAGTGCAAACATCTGGATGATGAGCAGATGGCAGCAAAGTGTTTTCCGTATTGCTTTCCTACTCTCTAGTGGGCATCTGGATTTTGGAGTTGAGGTCTGGAAGCCTTAGAGGAAGTCCATGAGCGCTTAAGAAAGTTGGAATTTAACTGATCCAAATTAGGTGTTGAAATACAGAGTTCATACATCTGGTAAGTAAATCTGTGGACTGATTTAGAAAAGTTCCGCTCCTATGGCTGAAAATTTACTTTTGGTTTGGACAAGCTAGTTCTGCCTTGCAACTCATACCATGGATCCTTCCTTTTTTCTGATGGAATTGCTGCTGTAATAGAAGGCAACAGGATGAGATAATATGGCTGAAATCTTATCCAGCCTTCTCTTAGACAAGCGTCAGATATAGTGGGACTTACTGCTAAGAAAGCATGTACCTGACTGCATTACAGAGCAGGCCTTCCTGGCACATTGACCTTAACTGGGATTTTCTTTCCATTAAACGAACACAGAACTGGGTGACAGGTGAAACACAGCCAGTGTGATTCCATCCAAATGTATGCATTTGCAGTTTACATCATCCCCATATATTCCCCTTTGACTGGCATTTGCTTTGTTCCATTCCCAGTCCATGTTTAAAGCAGACTTACGTTGATCTTGCTTGTTCTGGAAAATAACTAGCTTTTCCTGCTTAATCCAACATGAGCCATGGTGTGTAAACTTTATGGCACTTTCACCTTTTCCAGAGTTCTGTGTGAAAGTGACCAATTCAGCTTAGATTAGCTATTGACAGATGCCTTGGAGAGATATGTGTATTTCGGGAGGGAGGATATTCACCAGCTAATCGGTGTTCTCAAACCTTCCTCCTCCTGCCCACTTACAAAGAGTCCAGTGAGGACAATACATTATGTTACTGTCATCATGTCATGTCATACCAAGCTGTCATGTTGCAATAGCAAGGGTGGAATCTTAAAAGAAATTCTAATGAATAAAGGTTCTTCATGCTTAATTGGACGCATGTCTGAACTCTGCTGGAGATGGGATTCCCAAAAAAGTTTGAATAAGCTATAGATTTTTCTTCCAAATAAGACTGTATACTTGCTATATACAGCCTAATGAAACAAGGTCAAGATTTTCTAGGGCATTATGCCATAAGATGGTTTGTCTGGGGATATTTTAATTTTTGGCTTAATGCAATATGTGAATCCAACTAATGGTGGCCTGACTTTTCACGCTGTAGTGCTAAAGTCTTGAAATCAAAGTATCACACAGTAATAGTTATTGACCTAGTGTGGAGAAGCTGTATGTGTGTGCAACATACTAAGAACAAATGCTTTGGCTATATTCACCAAACTTAAGCTAAACCAAATATACCATGCTATAGCGAAATAGGGTGGCTTGGTTCATATCACGTATTAAGACTTAATGTGGTTCGATATTGTGGTTCATAAACCATGTTTATGATTAGTATGTTTGCAAACAAAACCAGAGTTTTTCCCAAATGGAGCAGCTCCAAACAGGTTAATGGCTAGGGTGAAGGATAGGTGACAAGGCATATATGATTACTTTTCAGACATTTTAACCATTAGATTAAACAATATAAGACTAGTGAGAAAAAACCTGATATTTATAGGAGCAACCCATTTTGTTTTAGTGCAGATTTAGGTAAGGGACTTTTAGGGAAATGGCTATTCATATTTTAGGAAGTGAATGCCTCAGTTTAGATCCCAAAGACCAGGATTGAAATTCCTGCTCCCCTATAAAGTATTCAAACCCTTTCAACTGAAATCAATCCTACCAGGTTGTTATGAAGATTAAGGGGGAGGGGAGTGTGGAGAGAGAGAGAGAGAAAGACTCGAATCCCCCAGATCTCCTCGGGGGAAACGTGCATAAGGATCCATTTAAAATGGGTTGGATTGAAGTACAACTTTTTCTAATCCTAAAAAAGAAGACAAGACACTTGGAATTGTAAAAGTTATCCATGTTTATTCCAACATTTAAAGCCTGATCAATGGAATGTACTCCTGAGTTAAGTCTTCATACCCAGGTTACAGGCAAAAAGATGGGAAATCACATATCTGCACACCCACAAACATTAACACACAAACTGTGTATAATCTTTGAGGGATTTGTGTTACCAAAAAATTTGTGTTTTTTTTGTTTTGTTTTTTGCTGCAAGGTGGACTCTAACCCATCAAACCAGCTAAATTGAAACTTCACACACTTCACATGCCCACCACCTATCACTATACATTCTTCCTACCTTTACTTTGTTTTCTACTTTGAAGAGAAGGCAAGGAAAAATGCATTACTGTAATGCATAGTCACCCTTTTACAAAGGGATACAAATTTGGACCAAAATCTGAAGATGTAATTATGTACTGTTAGTAGCCAGTATGGTAGTGCTGCTGCCAACAGATAGAAAATAAGTGGATGTCAATATAAGGGGCTCCCGTTCTCTCAGGCAGGATCCCGTTCTTATGCCTGATAAAATGCTATCAATTTAGGGTGGCTCGATTTCCTTTTGTCTTCCTTCTGAAGAATATTAATCTCAGCAAATTCTCCCCAGCAGTTTCACTATATTCAGTTGAACGTACTCCTCGATAATCCTACCTAAGAGGACAACGAGATTTTCTACCTCTTGGCCCCTCCGTATTTTTTTCTGGTGATAATTTTGTTAGTTAAAGTTGTTGGCACATATATATTTTTGCACCAATTGCAATGATCAGTTACCTGATTAGGGCTGCAAAACTTCCGATTCCGGGTTTTCTGTGTCTCTTTGCTACTATCCCAATTTTTGCTGCTCCTTGAATCTGGTAGCCCTAATTGATGACATTAAGCATAAACAGTACAGCTTCTAAAGTTAGCCCAACAGCAGTGCAAAGGTCAGGTACTCCAACCTGCGCACCCATTTACAGCAACCCTAAATGGTTTAGGATTCTGATCTCAAATACGCTTAGGAAAAAATAATTTTTCATTTCACAGGGAATTCTCTGTAGACACTGAAGTCAAAGAGTTTTTGAAGCGAGCAAGGTACATAAGCAAGTTCTAGGTTCTTGGAATAGAACTGAGTGACAAACAGCGCATTTAATTATGTGCATTTAATTTGCTCAAATTAATACTAATGGCATTAAACCCACTTTAGGTTTAAAATATACCTTCTAACTCTAAGAATACTTTGGCAGCCCATGAACCTTCGGAGAATATCCTAGGGAACGTGAGGGAAAGGTGACTGCTTTATTTAAACTAACTTTCCCAACACTTACTATCAGTAGGTGACACTTACTGGAATGAAGCCGTGTTCAAACACGAGAGACTTAATCCAAGCGAAAGCGTTCGTGTTTTCTCGTCGGATTACCTTCGCGATCCTTTCAGTATTTACTGCTTGGAATGCCCTCCGGGTAAGAGAAGGAGGCCAAAAGGTTGAGAATTGTTACGTTGAGAATTGATACGGAGTTCTCAGGTCTCACTTTACACTCGCGTATTATGGAGTCTCCCTCCTCGCCCCGCCCGTGTAATCTGCCGGCCAAGCACGTTGGCGCCGGGAAAGTACGCGGAGATGTCCATGTTGTGGGGTCTCCCTTTCTGGTTTCGGGAAAGCCATTCGAGGGGCCCACCGGGGAGCTCTAGTTTCGAAATTAGCCAGCCACATTAAGATCGCTGTGATTGATTCGGATTTTTTGAGAACCTGGTATTGTGGTGTGCATAGCAAGATGTATATTGTAGAGTTTTGTGTGCAAACTTAGCGGGGGTTACTCAACTAATTATGGCATTTTATTTTCTCAAGTAACGAAGTCTTGGAAGAACGACACAGCACCAAACACCCTCGTGTAAAACCACCTGAAGTTTTTTTGTTTTGTTTTTTATTGCCAAGCTGTTCGAAGTCAAACTTTAACTGGGGTGCTTCAGTCCAAGCCCAACCCATTCTGTACAAAACCTGAAAAAAGCGGATGCCTGAACACCCGTTAAGTGAGCCGCCTGCAAGGAAAAGCCTTGCGGGCTCTAGACGTGGCGATTTTCAGAAACGCAGACGAGAGAAATGCAACAGATGAGTCTTCCAACGGCGATCCTTCCCTCTTTAAGTTTCTATAAATGGCCATTGAAGAACGCAGTCAATAAATTACAATAAATAGAACTAAGAAGGTCCACCTGCCCCGCCCTCACCCGCCAAGAGGCGGCGGACTCACAACTCGGGATACGTTCCGCCCCCGCCCGCGGCTGCGCAGTAGTAGGCAGCAGCATTCGCCTCCGGGCCTTCGTGGCTCGCGTAGGGGAGCCCCAGGTCTCCCGGGCGGCAGGCGAAGGGCAGGTACTGCTCAAACTCGGCGCGGTCCACGTCCGCCAGCAAGTCCACATCGTG